ATGACCAGGATCTGTTCAGGGGAAAGAAACAAATATGGAAAATTGATGGAAACTGGTATCTGTGTATGTACCTGATGTTAAGTAAAGACATAAGTCCAATAAAGAGGTTTAGAAGTGCTTAAGAAAATAAACAATTGAACAAGTATAAATATATATCAGATATCCGGACGCCAGATATCCGTATGCTTCAGTATCTGGATGACTTTTCAGCAAAACAGAATTTTTTAAAGTTATTTTGTCTTGTTTATCTGGTAATTCAGATATCAAGAAACTTCACATAGCTGGACAAATTGACTAGGAACCAAAACGTCCGGATAAATGAGGCCCCACTGTATATGTTTCTTGAAAAAATTCCTATAAGAAACAAGCATTAGATATACTGTACAAAAATTTACAATGATGTTTTCCCCCTTTGCATGTAACAAGTGTATGGACACCTTACATGTATTTCACCTGTACTGTTGACAGACAAGCAGTTTATACGGGTGTGTAAATGTGAGGCCACAGGCACCGTCTTGGACCCTTACCTCTGTACTCGGTGTACAGACACCTTTACTTCCTACCTGGATTACCTGTCACACACCTGTACACCTAGGAGGCTGTACCAGTGCTGTTCCTGTAGACACCTGTATGGGACTGAGGAGGAGTTTGACTCTCATGACTGTAGACCCTGTCGATATCCATCTGGCAGTATAGACGATTACAGTGAGTAGGAGTAGCTCCTTAAACTGCAAATCAACCTTGTATATATTCTGCTAGAGCACTTTATACAGTGCAGGTTCTTATGATTTTTCAACATCATAGATCATATCAGTTGATCATTTATATATTCTTAATATTTATCTAGTCCCAGAAATTACAAGTATTCAAAGTGGTACCTTAAAAATATGTTATTTTTTATGGTTTAAGATCAACTTTTGAGATAGGCTGACTTTGAATTAGCACATCCTAGGGCCTTTTGAATTCTATAAAAATATGTACATTGTGTATACATACAGCATTTTATATACTGGTATACAACTGTCACAGTTCTTTGCAGTTTAAAAGAAAACCAACAATTCTTATTTCAGCATGTTCAGACACTTCCATTGGGGGAGAAATTGACTTGCCTTTAGAAACAATGAAGCACACAAACTCCCCAGGCATTTTCAGTGCCTCAGCCAAAGAAAATAGTGATGGACTTCTACAAAAAGTAAAGAAAGATGAGATGGATAGTGATGCAGACAGCTCACAGACTGAAGAAATGGAAGGATGTACAGATAATGGTAACATGACTGACCTCCCTGATAATGAGGGGGGTCTACATGCAACAGATCTAGAGAGTGCTTTCCATTCTCAAGATCATCAGGCAACAAGTGCTTCAAACGGTGACATCGCTACTGAATCTCAAGAACAAGCCCTGCAGGAAGCAGGGGTTCTTCAAGATAAGAATAAAAGAAGACAAAAGTCTTCACCGGCAACAAGAGAGAAGAGGGTCACTGGAACAAGAGTGAGAAAGAGAAAACAGGGAAGGGAACATTGGGGGGTCATCAAGCAGGACGTGGAAGGTTTGAGTGAGGTTATTCTGAGTCAGGTTACTGGTGTGGAGGGCAGGGCAGGGGTGACAAAGAAGAGTATAGTGAGTAAGGTGGTGGAATCAGAGATTCAGAGGACCAGGAGCACCAAATGGAAGAATGGGGGAGAGGAAACGGAGGCAGGTGATCCACCGACCGGAAGCAAAGGAGAGATGGATCATTCTTTGAAGGTTAAAACTCAGAAAGACATCACTGGGTTGAGCAGAAACAGTATATTTACAACATCATGTTCTGAAAAGGTTTCACACAGTCAAAGTGGACCTCATAATGAGATTCCTCAGGTTCCATTAATAGAGCCTAATGAGAAAGAAGATTCAAGAGATGAAAAGGAAATGCATGGATTGAGTAAGTCCAGTAGAAATACTGCTGCTGGGTCTGGTCATTCTGAGGCAAAGTTAGTTTTTCAGAAACTAGGAATATCAAACATCCCAAATCCTGGTAAAGAATTCAAAGTCTTTAAACTTATGGCTTCAGATCCATTCAAAGACGCGAAAAGCACCAGCATTGTCTCTCCTGTTCAACACCCTAAGGCTGTAACATCCACTCCAACAAAAGGTGTCAGAAATAACAGATCTCTCATAAAGCTTTTGTCCACTCCTCCCACTGATTATACCAGCCAACACGCACTACAGACTAGTTTACTTCCTTGTAATAATGTTTTCTCACCATTTGCAAATAGCAATGTTCCAAGTTCCTCTCAAACTGGGCAAAATCCTGACTCAGTGATGAGGGGCTTTGCTTCAGCAACAGGATTATCAACATTAACAAATGATTCTATAAGCACATCACAACAAGAGGAAAACACCGATTCCCAGTTTAGTGAGGAGGGACCAGACATTTCCATTGTTAAAAGTGAACAAATGGAGGAATCTGTTAATGATTCAGAATGTGTGGATGATGTTCCACAAACCCCAGACCCTGAAAGGGAACCAATCATTACCAATATTAAGAGTGAACCGATGGACGACTATTCCTATAATATTCCACCTACACAAGTTACCAATAGTGACCATGCTGTAGAGGGTCAAAAGTCCATTATAAAGAGTGAGCCCATGGACAGTATATTTGATGTTCCACAAACACAAGATAATGATATTGACAGTACCATAGAGGGTCAAAACCCTTTTATCAAGAACGAGCCTATCGATGATTCTTATAATTTTAGCGCGGGTTATTCAGTAAGTCAAAATGACACTCCTGAAACCATTGAAGAAAGTATACACTTCACAAATTTAAAGAAAGAGACTGGAAAAGATTCATCTAATTTTACACAAAATCAGTATGATTTTCCTCATTCCGGAGTCACCGCCGAAGGTTACGGAAACTTTACCACTGTTAAAACTGAACCAGGGGAGGAGTCATCTGACTTAAGTTCTTGTTATTCAGAGAACCAAAATGTTCTGCATTCTCAAGTCACAGAAGAGAAGCAGAATCTGGCTATTGTTAATGCTGTTAGTGCTGCACTAGAGAATTCAGGAATTCCTCCAGAAATCTTGTACGGAGAGAACGAGACAGAACAAACCTTACCAACAGAGAAAAGGACTGGTTCAGATACAGGACAGTTTTGGCTCTACAACTGTAAAACCTGTGGAAAGAAATTCAAACATGCTGGAACATTAATGGTGAGTGAAATATTCCCTTAAGGTTCTCTGACCCCAAGGTAATAAAGGTAATTCCCACTGTGGGAACAATGACTCTCATTCAGTTTCAATAATATTTCCACACTCAATATTTTTCAATTCATGGTTAGATTAGCCTGAAGTGGTTCAAAATATCTCTTTGTATGATTGATAATCCTTTGAGAATAAAGAAAACACAGTGAACATGATGTCCCTAAACAACCCAAAAGCTCCCTAAGTGTGTTGCTAGCTATAAGATACACTGGAACATGAACTGAAATCTTTAATTTTACCCCTGACAGGTACACAAGTGAGCACACAACCTGGAGAAGAAGCAGTTTCAGTGTTTTATCTGTTATTTTACTGTTGACAGGTACATGAGCAAGAGCACAACCTTGTGAAGAAACAGTATCAGTGTTTTATCCTTTATTTTACCCCTGACAGGTACATGAGCGAGCGCACAACCTGGAGAAGAAGCAGTATCAGTGTTTTATCTGTTATTTTACTTCTGACAGGTACACGAGCGAGCACACAACCTAGAGAAGAAACAGTATCATTGTTTTATCTGTTATTTTACTTCTGACAGGTACACGAGCAAGCACACAACCTAGAGAAGAAACAGTATCATTGTTTTATCTGTTATTTTACTTCTGACAGGTACATGATCGAGTGCACAACCTGGAGAAGAAGCAGTTTCAGTGTTTTATCTGTTATTTTACTCCTGACAGGTACACGAGCGAGCGCACAACCTGGAGAAGAAGCAGTTTCAGTGTTTTATCTGTTATTTTACTCCTGACAGGTACACGAGCGAGCGCACAACCTGGAGAAGAAGCAGTATCAGTGTGTTATCTGTTATTTTACTTCTGACAGGTACACGAGCGAGCACACAACCTAGAGAAGAAACAGTATCAGTGTTTTATCTGTTATTTTACCCCTGACAGGTACATGAGCGAGCCCACAACCTGGAGAAGAAGCAGTATCAGTGTTTTATCTGTTATTTTACTTCTGACAGGTACACGAGCGAGCACACAACCTGTAGAAGAAGCAGTATCAGTGTTTTATCTGTTAATTTACTCCTGACAGGTACATGAGCGAACACACAACCTAGAGAAGAAACAGTATCATTGTTTTATCTGTTATTTTACTTCTGACAGGTACATGATCGAGTGCACAACCTGGAGAAGAAGCAGTTTCAGTGTTTTATCTGTTATTTTACTCCTGACAGGTACACGAGCGAGCGCACAACCTGGAGAAGAAGCAGTATCAGTGTTTTATATGTGGGAGGATCTGTACAGCAGCAAGCTACCTTAAAGTTCATCTCAGGACCCACAAAGAGGAGCCCTCAGACACCACAAAGAGAAAGATTCAGTAAGTACATTCTAATTTAAATTAATAGAAGGTAAGGAGAAGATTTTATCAGTTAAACTCATGCTGCTTCAACAAGAGAATGTGACATCGAACAATTGGATGGGGTTAACTCTTGATTTAGGCCATCTTTAAAAAATTGTTTGTTTGCCCTCTCTTGGCTAAAAATGTCAGTCTCAAAAATTTTAACCTCCAGGAATGATATATTTATCTATTTTTTTCCCTTTGAATCTTGCATTGTCAACAACTTTCCCACAGCACCTACTTACTGATCTCATTTTTTTTTTTTACTTTGAGTCATGGGAAAGCAAACACAGAATATTTTGAGAATGGCCTTACTTTTAACATGTTTAAATAAAATGTATAAAATAAAACACTTAAACTTAAGGTTGAGATATTTTAATTCCAGATGTTTTAAATGTGATGAACAATTCCTCACACGAAAAGAACTTCCAGACTCACATGAGGATGCACTTTCAGAAGGGGCTGACTTACTGTATCAAGTGTGGGAAAGGATATCACCCACTACCACAAAAACCAGCTAGACAAACACATGGAGAATCACACAGGTAAATATAGTCACTAGACAAACACATGGAGAATCACACAGGTAAATATAGTCACTAGACAAACACATGGAGAATCACACAGGTAAATATAGTCACCCGCGAGAAAAACACTTGGAGAAACACACAGGTAAATATAGTCACTAGACAAACACATGGAGAATCACACAGGTAAATATAGTCACTAGACAAACACATGGAGAATCACACAGGTAAATATAGTCACTAGACAAACACATGGAGAATCACACAGGTAAATATAGTCACCCACTAGACAAACACTTGGAGAGTCACACAGGTAAATATAGACACTAGACAAACACATTGAGAATCACAGTATAGTCACTAGATACTAGTCACTACACTGGTAAATATAGTCACACACATGGAGAATCACACAGGTAAATATAGTCACCAAACACATGGAGACAAACACTAGACAAACACATGGAGAATCACACAGGTAAATATAGTCACTAGACAAACACATGGAGACACACAGGTACACACTAGACAAACACATGGAGAATCACACAGGTAAATATAGTCACTAGACAAACACATGGAGAATCACACAGGTAAATATAGACACTAGACAAACACATGGAGAAACACACAGGTAAATATAGTCACAAGACAAACACATGGAGAATCACACAGGTAAATATAGTCACTAGACAAACACATGAAGGATCACACTGGTAAATATAGTCACTAGACACCTGGAGAATCACACAGGTAATTATAGTCACTAGACAAACACATGTAGAAACACACTGTAAATATAGTCACAAGACAAACACATGGAGAATCACACTGGTAAATATAGTCACTAGACAAACACATGGAGAATCACACCGGTACCAATATAGTCACAACAAACACATGACACAACACATGGAGAATCACACAGGTAAATATAGTCACTAGAAAAACACATGGAGAATCACACAGGTAAATATAGTCACCCGCTAGACAAACACATGGAGGATCACACCGATTTTGTTTGAAGAATAAAGTACAGTAAAACTTGGGTTATAATAAAGTGACTGGGACTTATGAAATTACTTCACTATAATCATTATTTGTTATATCAGTATAAGGAATTGGATAAATAAGCAGGGGATGCAAGATAACTTGGCAATATTCCTGAATTCGTAATATCTGTGATATTTTTTTTTCTCATTGACAGAAAGGGTGTTTCTCTGCAAAAACTCAGCCAATGAATAACAAGTTTTTTTTTTTGATTAACAGATAAGTACCCATGTAAACATTGTGGTAGAGAATTCTCCAGCCAGGCAGGAAGGACTATCCATCTCAACAGTCACAACAAAGAGAAACAAACCAGTAAACACCCAACAGGTATTGTCAAATTTTGTTCTGTGTCTTCATGAAAATCTTCACCCCTTTTGCCCTCATTGCTAGAGGCCTAATTTAAAATGGCCAGGGGCAATTTTCAAACACTACATAATCCTTTTAACAAAACTGTGTCTGGTTGGAATTAAAGCAGGGCAAAAATGTTTGCTTGGGTAAAAGGGCAAATAGATAACAAGCTTTCGTTTGATTGACAGATAAGTTTCCCTGTGAGCAGTGTGGCAAACAATTCTCAGCAGCAAGCAGGGCCCTTCATCTTACCATTCATAACAGGGACAAAGAAACCATTAACTGCCCTATATGTGACAGAGTTTTTGAAAAGTAAGATCAACAAACAAACCATTAACTGCCTTATATGTCACAGAGTTTTTAAAATGTAAGGTAGACAAACGAACCATTAAATGCCCAATATGTCAGTTTTTTGTCCCCCGCTTAAAAAGTGGGGGATATTAATTTGGGTTTGTCCGTCCGTCTTTGTCACGATATCTCAAGAAACCTTTGAGCTTTTGCAATGAAATTTTGCATAGCAACTCCTTATGGAATAAAGAAGAATCCCATTGATTTTGAGGTCAAAAGGTCAAAGGTCAAGGTCATAAATAAGCAAATTCTGTCTGTTATAACTCTTTTGTTTCCACACGATATCTCTAGAACCATTTGAGCTATTGCAATGAAATTTTAGAATAACAACTTCCTGTGGCCTAATGAAGACCCCTATTGATTTTGAGGTCAAAAGGTCAAAGTTCAAGGTCATAAATTTATAAATTCTGTCTGTGTGTAACTATCATTTCCAAGCGATATTTCAAGAAGATTTTGAGCTTATGCAATGTAATTTTATACCAAAACTCCCTAGGACCTCTCTCACCCCTCTCAAAGTGCCCCGCCCCGTTTGTTTTATTAGTATTTATGGTATTACATGTTGCTATTTTTAGCACAGGGGCATGAGGAGAGTTATTGCGTATAAAAGAGGTTTTCAGCGGACTTTATGTTCTTATTACATCTATTAGAACTGTTTAATAAAGGCTAAATAAATCAAACACCATGGATTGTGTAAAATTTTGACAATACCGAACATGGATATATACATGTATGTGACTTCACTTCTGCTTATACTTGACTTCTTGTAAAGCGATTCCACGGTATAGTGGTATGTTTCTCGCTTCCCATGTGAGAGGTCCCGAATTCAAGTCCCGGACGGACCACTTTTTTTTTTAGAAATACCTTTATTTAAACTAAATTATAGTATTCAGCATGCGAAATGAGAAATTTACGAGGTCTGGCTTGTACAAACTCATAAAATCATCATTACAGTGTGATAAATATTCCATGTAAAAAGAATCTTCTATACACATAATAAAGAATAAGCAATTAAATCTTTATATCCATAATTATATATTTTATTTGCTTCAGTATACATGCATGTATACATTTAATAATTCTACAAATCCAGTGAGGGGGATCCGACCCCCCTCCCCTTCCCCCCGAACTGCCATGTTTCACTTTTTCCCCCTTCCCCCCGAACTGCGCACTGCGCAATGTTTCACTTTTTCCTTAAGCGGGGGACACAAATTCTCTGAATTAGCTTGTAAAAACTAAGGATGACAAAGGAACCAATAATTGCCTTATATGTCACAGAGTTTTTAAAATTAGAAAAAAAATATATAAAAAGTTTTAGCTAGTGCACATTTCTTTTTGACCAGTAATAGAGTATTATCTTTCTTTACAGAAATTTAGTTAAATATGAGAGTCACTTGAGGGAGCATGAGTTAGCTACCCTGTTTTTATGCCCCGTCTGTGGCCATGGATTTAGTACTAAAGGGGAGCTAACTTATCATCAGAAGAAACACCTCCAGAAGACAGAGGGGGCCAGTTCACATGTACTTAATGCTGTCCGGGGCCTGGTCAGTCACAGACAGTGAAGTGAGTTGAGACAGAGAAAAAGGAAATAATGTTTGCCTGCCCTCTCCTGACTCAGGATGAAGTGAAGGCATTCAACAAGGAGAAAAACTGACAATGAACATCATCTTGAAATGAATTCATCAGGATATTTTCACCCTCCCAGCCTCCGATTCCAGTGACAGAATCCAAAAGTTTTTGGATCAACAAAGAGACACAAACAAAGGCTCATTGATTCTTTGACTTAACTGGTAAAGAAAAGAAACCGTTGTGATTGACACTGTGAAAAGAAGTAGGTCTAAGCATTATTGAAGCTTAGAGTGAAAATGAAAGTACACCAAAAGGATGCATAAAGTGAAAGTACAAGGGAGAGAAAAGGATTTGGGAAAAAATGAGCATGTTGACATTTTGACATGCTTTGTTTTTATAAGGAATGATAAAAATGATACATTATTTATTTATTATTTATAAAAATTAGATGTATTTGAATGTAATTTTATATGTATAACTTAATCATGTTAATGCAGTTAGTTTTAAAGAGATAATCTAGTCAAGAATTCTTGCTGGCTTTTCTTTTATAAGTTTTATGTTCATTTGATTTGAGGCAGTGATTGGCAGTAAAAAGAGAAAAAAAATTATGAATGTAAATTTAACTTAGCATATCTCTTCACAAATAAAAAAGATGTATAGTCCTCAAAAAATCATAGGATTATTTACCCCCCCCCCAAAATGATTTAGACAACCCCACCCCCACCCCCCAAAAAATGATTTAGACAGATTGCTAAGTACTTACAATTTGAAATAACGAAATTCACAATAGAGGTGAATACCTGGAAGTAAAGGTGATCCATTGATTGGCATTGAATAAAGTAAATGAATCTAGATCTACAAGGCTCCTAAGGATGGTGCTTCTATCTAGTTTTCTGTATAAGCATAATTGACATCAAGGCCATCACAATTTATCCCCCCCCTCCTCCCCACGCCAGAGTGACCTGACACCCATTGCAGATGTGTGGATGGGGATAACTATGTGAAAAAAGTGTGTTGTCTAAGGAGACAACATTAATGTTCATAAACCCTCTGCTCACTCAAATAAAATGTTGCTTGAACCTTCAAAAGCCTAACCTATTAAAATTTATGTTCAAGGTTTGCTTTTTAAAAGTAGGTCAAACTCCAAGGTCAAAGGGTCAAAGTTCTTGGTATGCAATGAAATTTCTTTTCACAAGAATTACTTACATATGTGAAGTATGAGATCACTTGCTCTTAGTGTTCAAAAGTTATTGCCAAGGTTAAAGTTTTTTCATACGTACGAAAATCTCCAATGTCAAGGTTAAAAGATCAAGTTAATTGGTATCCATTGAAAGGTCTTGCCATAAAAAATACATGTGTGAAGTATGGACACTCTAGTTTTAACCATTCAAAAGTTATGCCCAAGGCTAAAATCTTTAAAAAATAGGTCAAACTCCAAGGTCAAAGGTCTTGCTATCAAATGAAAGGTCTTTTCACAAAGTATGAAAGCACTAGCCATAACCCTTTAAAAGTTATGGTCAGTGTTTGCATTTTAAAAGTAGGTCAAACTCCAAGATCAGGGTCAAAGTTCTAGGTATTCAATGAAGGGTCTTTTCACAAGGATTACACATGTGAAGTATGAGATCACTAGCCCTTAGCATTCAAAAGTTATGGCCAAGGTTAATGTTTTTTCATAAGTACGGAAATTGTCAAGGTCAAAAGGTCAAGGTTGTTGGTATCCAATGAAAGGGCTTTCAACAAAGGATACTTAATTATGTGAAGTATATATGTCCTGGTATCTACTGTTCAAAAGATATGGCCAAAGAAAAAGTTTGGAATTTTTGTGTACAAGTGGGTCAAATTCCAAGGTCAAAAGGTCAAATTTGATGGTACCCAAAGAAAGGTCTTGCACAAAAAATATACGTGTGAAAAATGAAAGTCATAGATCTACTAAATCAAAAGTTATGGGCAAGGTCAAAGTTTGCGGACAAACAGACAATCAGAGAGAAAGACAGACAGACGGACGGACACGACAAAAACTATATACCCCCGAAATTTCGTTTATGGGGTCATAAATATAAACAATTATGGCATGGTTTGCGGGGCAAAATTGGACAAATTGACACTCCAACTTGGCAAATCTATAAAGGAATACTAGACATTTATGTCATTAAGAGTTATCTCCCTTATCAGAGTATCAAAGACCCTTAAGTCCTATAGGCATTAGTGGGCGGCTGTGAACGATGGTCTCTGTGTTAACGACCAAACACCTATTCTCAGATAAGGAGTTAAAAGTCAAGGCAAAGGTAAACCTCAATTACAGTATCTTAATGTAATTTCAAAAATTAATTTATTTTACCGGTTCTAAAAGTGTGGTAATTATATTCATTATGTTAGGACATGTATACTTGACAAAAAGAGATTTTAATTTATACTAGTGTCAAGGTCAACAAAGTGTCATGGTGTTTTTGATGAAATTAAAATTATATTTGTCCCTTTTCTTTTTCCGAGAGAAACCCTTAAATTTTGAGTATTATATATATGCAGTTCGATCAGTCCTCAATCAACTGAACGAGAATTCATATATCCTTCAATATTCCCAGAAGGCTTTACAGTTTTGTCAAAAAAAAAAAAAAAAAAAAAAAAAAAAAACACACACACACAACATGATGTTTCCAATGTTCCCTTTTCATTATATAGCAAAACGATGTGAGATCATCTTTATAAAATATGTTTGCCCTCTCCCAACCAACCGTTTGAAAATGATCCAACTCGGAACTTATTTTAACCTTCTAGACTACGATACATTTTTTTCTTTTTATTCCTGATTTTTTTCTGTTAGCCCGTCTACTGCTATTTCCAAACTTTATGGACTCTGCGGGCCTTCACGAAATAAATATTTTAAGGGATATTCTGCTGGTTAGTATATTTCTTCTTCAGAATCGAAATTTGCGAGACAAATTTTAAAAATCCATCATAAAATGTTTATAAAATACTTTCTTAGAATTCAGTGTAAATATATTTCCATTTCAAGACTGTGAGTGTGAATATCATTCCGGAATTATTTTTTCCGGTACTTTTTATTTCATTTTTACACTGAGTACAAATATTCCGATTGATCCGAGATTGGAGCCTCGCGTTTCAGAGTAAGACTGACCAGAGACATATAATAGATTATACGTCTCTGGACTGACAGACTAGCTGTTTGTTGCACACGGTAAATCAGTGCGAAGTATTTTTTTTTTCATTTAATGATAATACAAGGTGTAAGTTAAACTAAGATTACATTCTAGACATCCAATGCATTCAACAAGGAGTAGACTCGAACTCTAATCTCAAGAGTCTTTATGTTGTTTTCCGCCAATATCTATATTTAATAAAAATTTAACGTGTAAATCTGTGTGGAGTTGAACAGTGCTTAATTAAAATACACATTATTATTTTTACGAAGTGTTTCATAAGGAAGCGACAACGCTCTTGTAAAGGTAACCCCATATTTGGGCAAAGAGGAATAACTCTTAATTATAAAACTAGGCCAAGCTTAAAAAATTCTTTGTTTGCAGTTACCGACCTATAATTTTTAGACTGGGTCGGAAGGTAGGCATTCTTTTTTTGTTTTTTTTGGAAAAAAATTCAGATTTTTGTTAGATAACAATTAAAAGAGGTTTTCATACACCTACTAGACATGAATAAGCTCACCTCTTGTTATAAACTACTGAATGATAAAAAACGTGTCAAAATTTGAAAACGAAACTGTTTCAATATTCTGAAAAATTGAAAAAAGAATCAAATTACCAAATGGCTAAAAAAAGTTTGGGTCGGATGCATTTTCAGTGGGTCGGTAGGCAACTGCAAACAAACTTAATTTTATTTTAGGCCCTACATTTGCAACAAATATAGGAGAGTCTGTAACCTATGCATGAAATAGGATGACATACCCTGAGTTAAATAAATTATAATGTAAATCTTTTTTCTTAAGCATGTGTTCAGAAATACTTCATGCATCAAGTCTGCTATTTTCAGACTTAAGTTAACAAAATGCCAAACAATAGACCATCACATAAAGAGGCCACAGAAATCGAGAGGATGCTAGAGGATTTCAGTACAGATATTGGTGAGTGATTTTTTTCTCAATCTTCTGTAGAAATCCTTCACTGATAATTATTTATATCGAAAAAATGTGAAATATAAATGAAAAATTATAGAATACAAATAAAAATTTATATGAAAGAAATGGAAAAAATTTACAATAGAAATGAAAATGTTTGCAATACAAATGGAAAAGAATGAATACTGCGATATTAATGTTTGACATACCAAATATTACTAGGAATGTTACATGTAGGGACAGTTCTGCACACAGAAAAAATTTAACATTGCTAACCCCCCACCCCCAATTTATCTTGCAACTGAATTATATTTAGGATTCAAGTTATAGTTTTGAGTAAAATGATGTAAAAATAGCCTCTTAAAATGATCCAAGTAATTTACTGTAACAAAACTTCATATAGTTTTAACACAATCTTTTCAAAGAGTTTTTAGAACTGCAAAGCTAAAATTTGCCATCTTTCACAAAATTACGAGGGCTGTTCAATAAATAATGTCCTGAACTATATAACAAACATTACAGATATCATATGACATTAAACTTGACTTTTTCTCATTATTGAATCTTTCATGAATTTATAACAGTTTATGTGATCACTTTTCATCACATAGTTTCATCGTGAGAAGCTGGGAAACAAGGGCTTTTCGAGACACTGCATTATAAATGAATGGTAAAGAATCAGTAAACTAGAGTAAAAATAAAAGCTTCATTATAGCTGCCGTAAAACTTGTTAAAAATCCCATAGAAATATTCACTGAAATATATGACATTTACAGCAACCAATGCCTGTTTTATAGACAAAAGAGCAGGTAGATTTCAATGATAAAAAATTATATAATGGACATCAAAAATGGGTACCCTCCTTGCCAACAAAAATTATAACAACTTATGTACTGTTTGCCAAATTTCAACAAATAATATTTGATGATGTATGATTGATTTTAAGACACATTGCAAATTTGATAGACATCATATCGGGAGTAGTTTATACTATTTTTAAGAAACGTTTGACGGTGAAAAAGCTTGGTACTCAAAGGTCACCCTATATTTTGAAAATTGAGTGAAAACGACAGCGTAAACGAAATTCGTAAAAATTATTTTAAAAATATCAGTAATTTTAGTTATCCACTTTTGTTTTATTTCAAACAGATATTGGAACATGAATCTATTGATTAAAACCCTCAAAACAAATTTTACCATAAGATGTACTTGATAAAAACGGCGAATGTCTGACAAGAGCACAGGTATTCAAGAGCACAAAGACAGATTTATATGTAATTTTCTTAAAAATTAGTGGTATTGTTGTTCAAATTCGTATTCGGAGAGACAGTTTAATTTCTGGAGGAGTCTAGAAAGCAATTTTATTGCAAAAAAATCAAAAGGTTTATTAGAGGAAGGACCCAGAATCAGGAATCCACTACATTGAATTTCTTCAAGACAGCGTCCAAACCCGCATGCCCTGAAGAGTAAAGGGACTTTCGGGATAAACAGAAAGTTAATGTTTTTTCACATTAACAATATTCGCCATATCTTTGACCTTTTGACTTGTTTCTATTTCCAAACTTGAAAAAACACCTTTCAGAGGGAAGAAACAAGTCCGGGAAATCACTGGATCTGCCATTTTCCAGTATACTAAGGGTCATACCCAAAAATGAGTTCTAAAAAAAATCAGAAATTGGATAAAAAATGTTACGGACATGTATTTTACTTAAAAGAAATTAATTAGTAAAATCATGAAGACTAGATCATTGAAAAGCATCTTTTGCTTCTTTCTGAGCACCGAGGACATTATTTATTGAACAGCCCTCGTATGTGGTAGATTGGAAAGAAAAAAAATTGTAAATTAAACTGAACAGATATCTGCATTTCATTTGGGAAGAGAGGGACGTATGGTCATACCCGATATATGCTAACTACTAATTTTTAAGCATTAATTTTTACAGGACATTGTGTTTCTCCTAATACATGTTTCATATTGTAACCATGCATGGATTACATTCATAAAATAGACACTCCCACTCAGATGACTCTAGGTTATGACAGTATTATAACTTAACTATAAAATTCATTGTTTTATATGAGTGTGAAGTATTTGATAAGCACATGTGTTTATACCACAATCTTTGATATTTTAGTTAATTTTCTTGAATGTAATCAGGTTTAAGATAATTAGGTTTGACTTTCCCCTTTTTTTGTCAGGTGAGAGTTCACAAGAGATGTCACATGCAGCAAGGTGCGTATTAAAAATTTTTAACAAGCTAGCAATAATTATTGGTAAGTGGTGTTTCAGGCATTTTAAGGAAGTTACTATTGAAGGTGCATAGACACAGATTTGAAGTTAATATTTTCTCAAATTTTTTGTATAATATCACAACTTATATATTGCAGTAGCATTTCACACAAAAATATATTAGAAATCTGATTTCATCTAATAGTTATTGAAACTTCAATTTTTTTGATGGGTTTGATTGACACATCCTAGCACTTTCACAAATTTTAATTTTATTCTAAATACCAAGGAAAATTGGCAATCTTTGTTGCATATTAATGAAAAATATTAAAACTTTAATCCAGAGAAAAAATTATACTCAGAGTAGAAATGTTTGAAAGCAAAACCCTTCACATGTATCGTCATTCTGCTTTAAGTGTTGTGTACAGAGTTAAGGAAATTGAACGCATTGAATTTTGGATTCCTAGTGGAACATAGGCCCTCTAAGTTTGACCTATGATTAAGAAACTTTTAACCTTTGCCTTGAACTGCCATACTTGGGCATTAGTATTTTACAAAGAATTTTGTTAAATTTTGCTAAATTATAAGCAGTTGCTGTAGTGCTTCAATGAGGCCAAAATCAGAGATCCAAATTATATTTGAACATCAAACATGCAGTCTTTTTTTTTTAAGATTTTTTCCCCCTAAATTTTCAGTGACTCTAGTAAGTTGCAGAAATCAAAGCCAAATTATGGAAGAAGAGCATCAAACATCGCACGAAGTATCAGAAGAACTATATTCCAGGCAGTTAAATGCTGTAAAAAAATGAATGAGATCGGTAATTCATTACAGGAAGAATTAATCAGCTTCTTTATGTCAAAATTAATGAATCTTTAAAAATTGTCAAAGTTTCAACTTGTCAATTTTTAATTCCTTGATAAAGAGCACTGTAACATCATCAAAGTTTACACGTAAACATATTTCTAAAATATCTAAATTGTCGAATTTTCAACTTTTCAATCTAACCAGAATTACAGTGCGATAATTGTTGATTTTATTACGTGGAGATGGTCATCGTTAAACATGAAATATTAATTTTTAATTGATTTTTATTGACAGCACAGGATATTGGGGATTCAAGTCTAGGCATGGTGGTTATCTGGGAAAGAAATAGCTCTATCAAAACTGTTGGCAAGAAAGAATTACTGGACAAGGTCTGTTCATATTAACACATGGAAATTTTTTCTGCTTATAACAGATCTCTTTATTGGTACTCTTTCAGTTCACTCATAATTGTTTTGATTTTGGACCCTTTATCATGATCTCTGATTTAAATGCCAAAATGTCCAAATTTTTGGATTCTCACCTTTTTTGGATTCCAGAATGCTTTTGGAAAGACTATAAATGCCAAACTCATGTTCAATTGTAAGGCAGATTTCAATTATTGGTATATACTATGATTTCAAACAGGACCCTATCGATGGATAAATTTTAAGCAATTGTAATTTCTTTGCTTGTCTTGCCTCAAAAATAAAAAAAAAATGTGAAAATTGTAGACTTTTATGAAATAAAATGTGATTTTTTAGTTTTGTGGTACATCATTAGTAAATAATGAAATACAACTTCAGAACATTAAAATGGTGCTTTTAAACTGGTATCTGTATATAGGTCACTAAGGCCCTGAGTCGCCCTAGCTGTAAACATGGTAAAGTTTGCGTCCCTACGTCTTCTTCAGAAAACAATGTAGACTTTACATCAGAGGGAGGCAACAGTAATGTGGGACTAGAAAATAATGAAGACAATTCACTCCAAACATCAGCTCAGTGTCAAAGCAGTAAGGAGGGAGATTCAGAGAAAAACGAGAAGGAAAAGAAAATGTTTAGAAAAAGTACAACTGGAAAAAGGAGTCATAGTGAAATGCTCCCGAAATCTAAAGAGATAGAGCTGAGTAGTCCACATGTTCTTCATAAGAGGGTCAAAATGACCTCACTTTTAAAATCTGTTCCATCTATCCAAGTGAAAGTCAGCAGTGCTCAGCGTACCCAGAGTGAAGAGGGAAAAAATCTCTCAAAAACTGCTCCTTCTATGCAAGTTAATGTCAGTAATTCTCAGAGTTCTCTAAATAAAGAGGGAGAGACACTTCTAAAACCCGAGCAGACAAAGGACGGTTGTTCTCAGAGTTTTCCAAATAGACAGGAAGAGCCACTTCCAAATCCACCTCTTGATGAAAAGAAAGGCAGCAGTTCTGAGGGAATCCAAAATAAAGTGGGAGATACATGTACTCTCCCAATACCAGCTCATGTCCTAGTGAAAGGAAACTGTTCACAAGGCACCCCAAGTAAAGGGAAAGACACACTTCCAAAACCAACTCCTGTCCAAGTGAAAGGCAGCAGTTCTGAGGGAATCCAAAATAAACTAAGAGAGACTCTAGCAGAATCAGCTTCTGTCCGAGCAGAAGATAACTGTTCACAGGGCCCCACAAGTAAAGAGAAAGACGCTCTCCCAAAACAATATCCTGCGATCCAAGTGAAAGACGGCAGTTCTCACGGTTCTATTCTAAGAACACAGGAAGAAACATTGTCCTCTGTAAAAGATGATAAAATAATTTCTTCAGAAGAACTGAAAGATTCAAAAAGTGAGTTAATTAAGAAATGAATTTAATTTTTGAAGATTCATGAGGTTATGAACTACAACGCTTCACGCCGGCATATTTCATGAAGTGTCTTATATTTACATTATTTTTCTGATGACTTGCCATAAATTTACGCCGTTCAACTGTCATTTTTAAAACAAAACAGAGTGCACTATATTTTTTGACGTTAAAAGCGGTATTATGACGTAACAATGGAGATATTCATACTTATTCGTGATACATACCTAACGAAGTTCATGAGAAAATATACTGCATTTTATTTTGTAAAGAATCATAAGGGAAATTTATTGGAAATGTAAATATTTTAAATTGAACTCTCAGAATGATAAAGCCTCTTGAGCTTTTATTTCTAAATATACTGCAAGACAAATGAAAGGCTCACTCTGAATTTTTTTTTTTATCATGTCATTATATTACATGTATATATGCATGTACATTAAATCTGCCATTTTCAGAAGTAAACAAATTTCCAAACAGAGGGAAAAGTAAAGTGATTACAGAAACAGAAATAGAGAAAGTGCTGGAGGATTTTAGTTCTAATCTTGGTGAGTGCTTCTTACATTATTTTGTCTTTTGTATGAATGCATTGTTGATATTTTTTGCAATTATTGATTTTAGAATGAAGTGAAAAAGAGGCTTTATTGGCAAAGGCATCTTTTCAGGCCTTTCTATCTTCATTACATCTTAATATCTTGAATGTTTGAATCAAAGTAATAATGTATTTTTTGAAGTTTGGGGATTCCTTTTTTTCAGGTGAAGAATCACGTGAGACATCATATGCAGCAAGGTGTGTATTACCATGGTGACCAATATAAACAATTTGTGTTTCACTTTAATGAACACATTATTTTAACTTCAGTGGGTTGAAATTAAGATTGGCCTGGGGGCCATAAAAGTTAGACGAGCTCACTTTTGATCTCAGTCTCACTTTTCCACTATAAATTCTGTAAATCTGGAAAATTTTACGTCGATTTTATTTTGCGAATTCGGGTCAAAATGGTGTTGATTAATTTTTACGTTTCAAAATTTTGCTAATTACCACTGCTTTGTTTACATTTTCTTATCATGCTTATTGGTAATTTATTTTTAAGAAAAATATTTTTGCAAATGCAATGAACTCGCAAATTTGCTAAAAATTTATCTACAGCAAAAATTTCCAGATTCACGGTATAAACAATTTGTGTTTCACTTTAATGTACACATTACTTTAACTTCAGTGTGTTGAAATCAAGATCTGTTGTTTGGTAACTGTATGTGTTTTTGCTAAAAAAATATCTTGTTTATTTTAACAAGCTTGTACTGTTCATTAATTGGTATGTTTTGCTTCAGACAATTTACTTTATCACTTGTGATTATTGGACAATTTGGTTGACCATTTGTAAAAGTGTTACTGAGGCTGCGTATATCCGGAATTTTTAGTAATTATCAACTTTTCATTTCCGACTTTTTTAGTTTTGTTTTCAATTCCAACATTTTTCATATAGTACCTATGTAACGGTTTCTTAGTTATAATATAACAATAAGTCCGTTTCAGGTTCGAACATCTCCATTTATTCACACACAGATTACAGGGAATAATAGGAATATAGGAAATAAGAAAAATGCCCTGAAAATTATAATAACAAATAATAAATACATGGCATAAAATGTTCTAACATATCCATATCAATATAGTTACTAAGTTACTACAATCTGCGGTTAACAGATACGCTGCTTAAAGTGAGGTAACTCTTCACACGAATTACACATTATAAAATAGAATAATGCTCCCTTTCAATATTATACTCTTTGAAAAATCATAAAACCTTTATACAACAATATTGATCTAAATGTTACAATAACGTCTACACAGACTTTACTCTTTTAGGATAATCATAAAATATATAAAACAATAATAGCATACCAATCTATGGGATTGAGCCTCTCCCAATCAATAGTGTCTGACTCAGTATGGCTCACATGGTCCAGATCATATCATATAATTACAAATTACCATAGTTTACATAAGTAAACCTATCATAAAAATATCTACATATTTATTTAAATAAAAACTACTATCTGCATCAATAAAACAGTTACTCAGAAATTCTGAATCAATCAGATTCTGACCTTGAAAGTGCTATGGAATTAATTTTGGCAAAATTACAGACTTTACAGTTAAATCAAATATTAGAAATCATATTAAAATTAGTATATAAATATTAGATTACCTTAATAGAGAGAAATAGTGTCTAAGTCAAATGTCAAAAAGTCTGAATTATCAAATCTATAAATATGGCCCTCTCTACTGAAAGACTGGACAGAGAATGACCATCACAAATAACAACTTTTGGAGGGAAAATAAGTAAACCAATAAAACACAACCTTACAAATTCCAAACCAATGAAAATAGTGGATACTACAAACCAAAGACCAGAGACCAGAACCTTCATACCCCAAGGCAATAATAATTAAGTACAGGTACTACCTGTTCTACCTGGGTGACCTTTATATATTCTTTATCAATACATTTATGTACAAATTAAAAACATGAAATATAATAGATTTATTAAATAAATTAATAAATCTAATACTGTAACACCTATATTAACAGATTTGAAGACTTTACCTATGAAAATTTAAAGGAATACATATAATAAATAAATAATTGAAATTCAATTTTTGAGTTTTTATAAATTTATCAATGAAACTACTGTGACAAAATGTAGGCAACTACCTGAATTAAAGTTTGAGAGATTGACTCAATGTTTACCGAATTACTCTGCCCAGATGTAAAGCAAAACAAATAAAGTTCTGTGTAGAGCTGCGTAATAAATGTATCAACTGGAATAAAAACTGAATAAGAGTACGGCAAGTGGCTTTGACATAAGTTTGGTGCTGACACTGACATTTATTTTAGTGCACATCAAATTAGGCGAAAAAGCTGTATGTTCATTGAATTCTTTAACCTAGACTAAGTGCTACATGTATGCATATATGTATATAATGAATAGATTTTTAAAAATAGATTTTTAACCAATACTTTGCAATAAATATTTTCATTTTTCATTTTCGCTAACTAGGAAAACATTAAATTGCTGCACAGGTAAATTCCGGAAATGAAAACGAAATTATGTCGGAAATGAAACCAAAAAATGTTGGAAATGAAATAAAAAAAAATTTCGGAAATGCCATGCAGATTTACGGAAATGAAATGCAGTGGTTACTGATTATATCAAAAACTTATACAATAACCTAACGGTATCTTAATTTCAATGGTACAAAATTAATTATCAAGAGGTAGAAATCAAAATTATTTCCCATTTTAATCTGCATGTATAAAAACTGTATCTAACCCAGATCTACTTTGTAGGCAGACTTCGTTTTTGTCCCCCGCTTTCGCGAAAGCGAGGGGACATTAAATCTCATTCGTCTGTCTGTCTGTCCAGCTGTCCGTCAGTCTGTCCGTCACAAAAACTTTAACCTTGCCCATAATTTTTTATTTAGTGGAGCTATGACTTTCGTATTTCACATGTATATTCCTTGTGACAAGACCTTTCTTTGGGTACCACCAAATTTGACCTTGACCTTGGAGTTTGACCCATTTTTACACAGAAATTTCAAACTTTTGTTTTGGCCATAACTTTTGAATGGGAGGTATAAGGACTTTCATATTTCACAAATGTATTGTTTGTGGCAAGACCTTTCATTGGATACCAACAACCGTGACCTTTTGACCTTGACCTTGGAGATTTACGTACTTATGAAAAAACGTTAACCTTCACCATAAGTTTTGAACGGTGAGGACTAAGGCTTTCGTACTTAACATATGTAATCCTTTTGAGAAGACCTTTTATTGGATACCAAGAACTATAACCCTTTGACCTTGACCTTGGAGTTTTAACTACTTTTCAAAAACTTTAACCTTGGTCACAACTTTTGAACGGTAGACACTAGGACTTTTATATTTCACATATGTATTGCTTGTTGCAAGACATTTCATTGGATACTAATAACCTTGACCTTTTGACCTTGACCTTAGAGATTTACATACTTATGAAAAAACTTTAATCTTGACCATTAACTTTTGAACGATGAGGGCTAGGGCTTTCGTACTTCACATATGTAATCTTTTTGAGAAGACCTTTCATTGGATACCAACAACTTTTATCCTTTGACCTTGACATTGGAGTTTTAACTACTTTTAAAAAAAGTTTAACTTTGGTCACAACTTTTGAACAGTAGATACTAGGACTTTTATATTTCACATATGTATTCTTTGTGGCAAGTCCTTTCATTGGATATCAACAACTTTGACCTTTTGACCTTGACCTTAAAGATTTACGTACTTATGTTAAAACTTTAACCTTGACCACAACTTTTGAACGGTAAGTGCTAGGGCTTTCATACTTCACATATGTAATCCTTGTGAGAAAATCTTTTATCACCAACTTTGACCCTTTGATCTTGACCTTGGAGTAGCCCTACTTTTAAAAAACGTTAACTTTGGCTATAACTTTTTAACGGTCAGGATAAGGGTTTTCATCCTTCAAAAAAATCAACTTCAATGATAATTTCTAAGAAATGACATATGATAGGATGTTCATATTAGACACAAAATGCCATAAAAATTAACATCTCACCAACAAAGCGGGGGACCACAATTCTTTGAATTTGCTTGTTTTTTTAATTTTCCAGTGACTTTAAAGAGCTACAGAAATCCAAACTATATTATGGAAAAAGAGCATCCAATCTCATCCGGTGTATTAGGACAACGATATTCCAGGCTGTTAAGTACTGCAAAAAACTGAACGAAATCGGTAAGAAATCTGTTAAATATATAACTAAACCCACGATTTGTTTGAACATGATGAAGATCTTCTTTTCAGCTCTTTGGTTAAAATCAAATATTTTCAAGGGGTCAAATTTTTGTGGTTTGAGGAAAATATATTTGTTCATGGAGATTTGATTTCGTGATCGAAGAATTGTTCAGTAGTAAAAAAAAATTGCATTTCGTGGTGGACATAAATTTATGAGTCTCTTCCACCTTGAAAACCATGAAAATTAAACCCCTACGAAAATTAGTGATTTCACAATAAACAAAAAGTGTAGATCTTTCAGTAAGCAGGGATGCATCTTCTAAAATTATGAATTTTTTGGCCCCTGGGGTTTAGGTAGTTGAGGTGGGCTCTACTGATGTCAAATTTTCTTGAAAATCTTTCTTTACTTTTGGATTAAGCACTCCAGATAAACAAAGTGCAATTGTTATAATAGCAAGGGTTCTTCTTCCAAATTTGTGAAATTTGTGGCCCGAAGGTCAGGGGGTCAGATAACTCCTACAAGTAAGAGCCTCGGTTAACGTACCTACGCTCCAGTCACAGCACCAAGTCAAAAGTATCTCGCCGTGAACCTCTAGCATGCTAGAGTAGGTGTCTGATGTTTTGACGGATTTTTGCATGCCAGTCTGATACATAATAATGTTATCCAACTATTTTTCATGACATATTTTATTTACGATTCTAAACTTTGCAGTCTATCTATGATTTAAAATCTTTGCCACTAAGTCAGCATTCTGAATAAAAACTAATATGTGATTATTTGTATCGCCATGAGAAATGAATGCAAATATGAGAAGGTCGCAAATTTTTATACGCCCGTCTTAAGACGGGACGTATTATGTTATAGGCTTCATGTCCGTCCGTCCGTCCGTCTGTCCGTCTGTCCATTCCTGTCCGGCTCATAACTTGAATACTATTAGGTCTAGGATTATCAAACTTTGTCAACTTATACTTCTTGGGTAGACGGTGTGTCGCGCACAAAAAGTAGGTCACTATGACCTTTAATAAAGATGCTATGGCCAAATATGGAAAAATCCTGTCCGGCTCATAACTAGAAAACTATTTGACCTAGAGCTTTCAAACTTGGCAAAAGTATACATCTAAAGTAGAAGGTGTGTCGCAGCCTATTTCAAGGTCACTGTGACCTTTATGTAAAGTGAATTTTTTCAAAAAACTAAGTCTTTTAAATTCTTAATTGCATAATCCTAAAAAATGTAAAAATATAGTTGTATCCTTATTAAAAAATGTTTAATTAAGTAAAAACTAATTTTTTCATTATATACTTTACAGCAATCTGTAACAATTGTTTATGCTTTGAGAGGAATTCAGTTTGTCCCATGGGCATAATTATCAAGCACCGGTCAAGAAGAAATTTGATAGCAGAAATTTGCATGTCAAATTAGAGAGAAATTAATGAGTTTATTGTCAGGAGCTAAGAGCAACTCTAGATCTGATGGAGCTGTAATCTAAATTAATCTCTTGGGAGTTGGGCAAAAAGAAATAGCCTCATAGTTGCTTGTGTTAAGTAAGAGTTCTTGATATGGTTTGTCCAGATAAAGATCTTTCAATTGGTGTAATGTAATTAAAAACAAATTGGTGTTTTAGTGTATGATTAAAACTAAATTAGTATTGTATAATGTGATTAAAACTAATTATTATATGTGTTCATTGAAAAAAAAATTATATTTCAATTTTTATATATTTGCAACAATGATGCTATAGCCAAATATAGAAAAATCCTGTCCTGCTCATAACTAGAAAACTATTAGACCTAAATCTTTCAAACTTGGCAAAAGTATGCATCTAAGGTAGAAGGTGTGTCACAGCCCATTCAAGGTCACTGTGACCTTTAATTAAAGTGAATTTAAGAAAAAAACTAAGTTTTTTAAATTTCTAATTGCATAATCCTAAAAAATGTAAAAATATAGTTGTATCCTTATTAAAAAATGTTATGTTAAGTAAAAACTAATTTTTTCATTATATACTTTACAGCAATCTGTAACAAATGTTTATGCTTTGAGAGGAATTCAGTTTGTCCCATGGGCATAATTATCAAGCACTGGTCAAGAAGAATTTTGATAGCAGAAATTTGCATGTCAAATTAGAGAGAAATTAATGAGTTTGTTGTCAGGAGCTAAGAGCAACTCTAGATCTGATGGAGCTGTAATCTTAATTTATCTCTTGGGAGTTGGGCAAAAAGAAATAGCCTCATAGTTGCTTGTGTTAATTAAGAGTTCTTGATGGCTAGTCCAGATAAAGATCTTTCAACTGGTGAAATGTAATTAAAACAAATTGATGTTTTAGTGTATGATTAAAACTAAATTAGTATTGTATAATATGATTAAAACTTATTATACATGTGTTCATTTTATATATATTTGCAACAAATTGCAGTCATGTTATACAGGTCGGAGAGAATACTCGAAATCGGGTATTATCCTTGAAATCGCGTATAATACTCGATATTAGGGTATCGTTGAATCCGCGAAATCGGGTATAGGAGGTGTAATCACCTAATAAAACTTAAACAATGGAATGGCGCATGTTGCCGAGTTAACTTTCATCTAGATACACATGTTTTCTAAAGATATCACTAGCCAAGTAAGAATTTGGGCTTCAAGATTAATGCGCTCGGGACAACAAATACCCGTGGAGCTCAGTACATTTTATGATCTGCACACAAAAAGGCGTTCGATTTGCTTTATATTTTTTCTTATGTTGAAAGTATATGCATCTTCCTAATGTTCATTCCCAACACAACAGAATTGTAAAGTATCAGAATTCGGGAATTTATAATAATTCCACATCAACACGACAATCATGAACAATTTGTAAATAAATCATATTATACGGAAACACATTTCACACACAAGATATGATGCCATGTATAAACAAGGGATTGTCTATCGTATCTAATTATGCGTCAATAATTACTTTCACATTCATCTTGTGCATAAAATCAAATTTATTTATGAATGTATAAATAATGTAATGATAAAAATGTCTAAAATTTTGGCTAAAAAAACCCTCTTTCTCTTTTTTTGAAAATCTTTTCTTTTTTATTTATCATTCAAACATATTTGCAGAATATGTCTTCAACATTTTAGCAGGGACAGTGATAGTTTCAGGAATACATGTACAGCTTATGAGAGAACATATCTGTTGATCATTTAATTTCGCTAAGTCATCAATATTTTACCATTTCTTGGCGACTTCAAAGGGGGGGGGGGGGGCTAAAGGCTTCTTGACCACCTCTGACAAAACAACCTCGACATATATTTTTAATCGAAGGGTAGATTTATTCATCAAATAAAAATCATATACATTGTAGGTAAACAAAAAGCAACCTGTTATTTTCTAACACAATATGAAACTACAAGTAACTAGAATTCATGTTTATTTTTAAAACACAATTTTTCATTATAGATGAGTATTAGGAAACGTTATTGTCATGAGTTATACATATCATAGGTAAAATAACTAAAAGAAAACTGTGACATATTGTCTAGAACCATCAGATAGTGCGTTGTATTAGCATATTATAATGAGGTATAAGATAGCGATATCAAAAATATATAGAAGGTAAAGAGGTAAAATTTACCCGGTCTATCAAATAGTATAATAAAGAAAGGAAGTGGCTACGATTTTTATGAAATTTTAATGTCCGATGAGGAATTACATTCCCATTCCAAGGCAATTGAACACTCCATTATTTCAGTTTGTTCATTAACATGTTCATAAACGTAAAAACTATAAGAAATGTGAAAACTTGACTGTGTAATTCATATTTCAATATGAATGTACCTCGATCTATATTGAGAAATTCAATGTATTATAAGCTCATGAAAAGATGTACACATTTGACTTTTATTTATACCCCCCCCCTTCAAAAAAAAAAAAAACACAAGAAAATCCTGTTCATATGACTTCTCGCTCTCAATTTTCACACAAATGCATAAAATAAAGGTAAAATAGCATATCTTGTATCGATTAAAATGCAACCAAAAAATTTACGGTGTGAATTAAAATCCATGCTAAATTGACATAAAAAAGGATACTCACCTTCAATTAGTTATTTTCAACCTGTTTTCCCGTGGGTATTTATTTAATCTTTTTTTTCTTCTTTATAATAACTTTGGTATTCTATTATGGCAGAGATATACAATTATGACTCGCTTATACTGTGCTCTCTAACTGTTAGGAATAATTTATATTTCACGTGAAAGGGACGCCATACATTTTGTAGTAAAAATACATAACACGGCGTTAGTCGTTTAATTTCTTTAAAATTTCACGTTTTGTGAATAGTGCACAAAGTAGAAAATTTAGTATATGGAATACTTTAATGGGAAATAAAGACAAACGAAGTGTAGTTATTTGATTTTAGAAATTATATTGAAAAATAATAACGCCATTGTGTCCTCTTTGTTACCCCAGCAGTGTTTGTCGTGTGATTTTAAACTTATTTGAGAACAGTATGAATTAGGTTTAATAAAAATAAATCCACAAGATACTGATGTACAAGTAACAGTTACTGGCATAATGCGCCGTTGCTTTATTCTTTTGTTTTTAAAGAAAGTTGCATGGAATACCCGATTTCGCGGATTCAACGATACCCTAATATCGGGCATTATACGCGATTTCAAGGATAATACTCGATTTCGAGTATTCTCTCCGACCTGTTATAGTCTGAAGAATAATTTATTAATTTAATTTATGTTTGATTTTTATCAGACTAGCATTTCATAAAATATGCAATAAACAATTTAAAGCTGCAGATGGATATTGTTATGCTCTAACACAACCAGTTTAGAATTATATGATGTATTATTTTTTATAATCAGTCCATACACTGTAACTAAGGCTCTTAGAGAAGTATGATAAGAAATGGAAATTAGATAATTGAAATCTGTGTCAATCTGTTAATCAAGGCTACCTGATTTTCTTGCATCCTAACCAATTCATGATTATTGAACAATATTTGACGGGCGTATCATGCTGTGGCGGGGCACTTTATTTTGATATGTCTTGCTCAGAAATAAAGTTAACAATTTACATGTACAGTGGACCTTCAGATATCCGGACGCCAGATATTCGGATGCTTCAGTATCCGGATGATTTTTCATCGGAACGGAATTTTTTAATATTATGTTGTCTTGCTTAACTGGTGATTCAGGTATCTGGATGCTTCACATATCCGGAGAAATTGACTGGGAGCCAAAGCGTCCAGATAAATGAGGCTCCACTGTACCAGTTTTTGGAGAAGTTATTTGTATTAGGTACATGTATTATGACATAACTTAAAATGTACAGTGTGGAATCAATGTTTTAACTTTTGATAATATGAGAAATCCATTTTTTTACCATGTTTACAGCCAATGACATTGGGGACTTTTTTCTGAGTATGGTTGTTGATTTTTTCCTTTACCATGTTTACAGCCCATGACATTGGGGACTTTTTTCTGAGCATGGTTGTTGATTTTTCCTTAACCATGTTTACAGCACATGACATTGGGGACTTTTTTCTGAGCATGGTTGTTGATTTTTTCCTTTACCATGTTTACAGCCCATGACATTGGGGATGTTTATCTGAGCATGGTTGTTGTTTGGGAAAGGAACAGCTCCATCAAGACAGTTGGTAACAAAGCATTACTGAAAAAGGTAAAATCTCTATACTTACATTGAAAATGTTTTTTCCTTATTAATATATTTATGTTTAGATTGTAGATGTAGGTTTGCATACTGTTAAGATTAAAATTAGCTGCAATCTTAAAATTTTGGACCATAAAATTTTTAAAATGTTAAAATTTTGGGCCATACAATTTGAAAATGTTAAAATTTTGGTCCGTCATTTATAATTTAAGTGCTAGAATTTCCAGAGTTACACCAGTTTTATGCACCTGTATGGACAGATCAGGGCACATATTGTTTTTGTCCTGTCTGTTTGTCTGCCTGTTGTCAACTTTAACCTTCACCATAACTTTTGAATCATGAGAGATAGAGACTTTATATTTGGTATGCATACTCCAATAATTCAGTTCTTTCAAATGACACCAAGGTCAATGACCCTTTGACCTTGACTGTGACCTATTTGCTAAAAATAGCTTTTTCAAACTTTTTTGCTGCTGGGCGCATAGTGTTTCATGAACACATCTTGTTGGTTCTAAAATATTGGACATATTCCAATTTAAGACAGTTTTTATGCCCCGCCATGAATATGGCCGGGGCATATAGTGTTTGTCATGTCCGTCTTCCGTCCTTCTGTCCTTCCGTCCTTCCGTCACACTTTGTGTTTAGCTCTGTTTAAAGCTAAGTTTCAAAGAAACTATCCAAGATATTTTCATCAAAGTTCATATGCTGATAGATATTGATGAGAGCTATGCAACTGCATCAATATTTTTTGACCTTGACCTTTACTTTGACCTTGACCTCACTTTTCTTAAATTAGTGTTTGGCTCAGTTTTAAATATGATACCATTCAAGATGGTGTTATCAAACTTCACATGTTGATACAAACTTGCACGGATGATGCATCTAGGAATGAACACTACCAGACTTGCTTCGGATGCTGGATCTGACCTATATTTTCCAGATGAGTGACCACGTTAAAGTTTTTGGAGCAGGTCCATTCCTAAGGAACTAAAAGCCCTACTTGGACCAAACCTGTATGGATGATGCATCTAGAGATGGACACTACCAGACTTGCTTCGGATGCTGGATCTGACCTATATTTTCATTCCCAAGTAACTATAAGCCCTACCTGAACCAAACTTGCATGGATGATGCATCTAGGGATGGACACTACCAGACTTGCTTCGGATGCTGGATCTGACCTTTATTTTCACTCCCTAGTAACTATAAGCCCTACCTGAACCAAACTTGCATGGATGATGCATCTAGGGATGGACACTACCAGACTTGCTTCGGATGCTGGATCTCACCTATATTTTCATTCCCAAGTAACAATATGCCCTGCCTTAACCAAACTTGCATGGATGATGCATCTAGGGATGGACACTACCAGACTTGCTTCGGATGCTGCATCTGACCTATATTTTCATTCCCAAGTAACTAAAAGCCCTGCCTTTACCAAACTTGTATGGATGATGCATCTAGGGATGGACACTACAAGACTTGCTTCGGATGCTGGATCTGACCTATATTTTCATTCCCTAGTAACTATAAGCCCTGCCTGAACCAAACTTGCATGGATGATGCATCTAGGGATGGACACTACCAGACTTGCTTCGGATGCTGGATCTGACCTATATTTTCTTTCCCAAGTAACTATAAGCCCTACCTGAACCAATCTTGCATGGATGATGCATCTAGAGATGGACACTACCAGACTTGCTTCGGATGCTTGATCTGACCTACATTTTCATTCCCAAGTAACTATAAGCCCTACCTGAACCAAACTTGCATGGATGATGCATCTAGGGATGGACATTACCAGACTTGCTTCGGATGCTGGATCTCACCTATATTTTCATTCCCAAGTAACAATATGCCCTGCCTTAACCAAACTTGCATGGATGATGCATCTAGGGATGGACACTACCAGACTTGCTTCGGATGCTGCATCTGACCTATATTTTCATTCCCAAGTAACTAAAAGCCCTGCCTTTACCAAACTTGTATGGATGATGCATCTAGGGATGGACACTACAAGACTTGCTTCGGATGCTGGATCTGACCTATATTTTCATTCCCTAGTAACTATAAGCCCTACCTTTACCAAACTTGCTTGGATGATGCATCTAGGGATGGACACTACCAGACTTGCTTCAGATGCTGGATCCGACCTACATTTTCATTCCCAAGTAACTTTAAGTCCTACCTGAACTAAACTTGCATGCATGATGCATCTATGGTGGACACTACCAGACTTGATTGGGATGCTGGATCTGACCTACATATTTACTCCCAAGTTACTATAAGCCCTACCTGAACCAAACTTGCATGGATGATGCAGCTAGGGATGGACACTACCAGACTTGCTTCGGATGCTGGATCTCACCTACATTTTTATTCCCAAGTAACTATAAGCCCTACCTGAACCAAACTGATCAAATTTTATACACATACAAATTTTCATGTTCCTTTACTAATATATCCTCGGCGGGGCATTCATGTCCTATGGACATATTTCTAGTTTTTTTCAAGTTTTATAGTCCTCTGATTATTCCAGTCAATATGTATACTTCCTCTATTTAAGACCATTAAATAGTGAAGAAATTTATGCAATTGAATTTTCTTGCACTAAAAACGTGTAGCAATATCAAAATTCTGATATACTGTGATGTAAACTTTAAAATTATCAATGTTTCTATATAATGGTAACCATCATTACATTTATTTAGATCGCAAAGGTCCTGAGTCCCCCTAGCTGTAACTATGGCGATGTTTGTGACCCCACGTCTTCACATGCAGATGAAGGTTATTTGTCGCAAAAGCTTGTTTTACATTTTGTTTTGAATAAAAATCTATTTCACTTAAAGGGGCTGGGTGGTTGTGGCCATTTTCAGATGGTTTTGATCTTCTTTAGAAGAAGAGTTCCATGTAATACAATTGTATATATATAATGATCAAATTTTAAAACTAAAATTTTTGAATTTTTTCTCTGCCAAATAATAGTTGACGGCTTAAGATACCATATCTGAAAATTTAAGATATATCTGGTGGTTAATTTGTTGACCCCCCCCCTCCCCCACCCCCAGCCTCCTTAATTTTAAACCAAACCAAATCAGTACTTTTTAACTTTTATTTGTTGTTAATAAGAATTTGTACTTAATTTTAGAGACAGTATTGGGAGAAAATGGTTTGTCAGCAACTGATAATACCAAACTTAAAACATCAGAACTGGAAACAGAAAACAATGAAAGCAATTTATCTAAAGAGACAAACAAGCGTGTTGAACTAAATTCAGGGAAAAAAGACAATGGAAATAAAGTGTCTAGAACAGTTACAAGTGGAAAAAGGAATTCTAGTGAGAAAAATGAAGAATCAGATCTAAGTCCACAAGTTCTTCTAAAAAGGGTAAGAATGACCTCACTTCTAAAGCCAGCCCCTTCTGTCCAAGTGAAAGACACCAGTTCTCAAGGTACCCCAAGTAATCTGGTAGAGACTCTTTTAAAACCTGCTCTAGGTAAAGACATAGAATCTCTAAATCCCCAAAGTGAAATAGGAGAAACTCTTGAAGAACAAGCCCCTGCTCATCTGAATGACAGTGGTTCACAGGGTCCCCCAAGTCCAGAGGGAGAGAAACTTCTAGAACCATCTCCTGTCCAAGTGAAAGACACCAGTTCTGAGGGTTCCCAAAGTAAATGGGAAAAGAGGCTCCCAATACCAGCTCATGTCCCAGTGAAAGGTAACATTTCACCGGGCACTCCAAGTAAAGAGGACACACTTCCAAAACCAGCTTCTGTCCAAGTGAAAGGCAGCAGTTCTGAGGGAATCCAAAATAAACATGGAGAGACTCTGCCAAAACCAGCTAGAGTCCAAGTGAATAACAGTGGTTTTCAAAGTCCCTCATGTAAACAGGCAAACACATTGACTTGTGTAAAAGATGGCAAAATAATTTCTTTAGAAGAGCTGCAGACGGAAGTAGAGTTAGCATTGAAGTCGCCGAATACTAATAATGCCCCAAAGTTTTATCTACAAAAAATACCCAGTGGTGATGAAAATTTCAACAAGGCAATAATCAATTCTTCAGGAGGAACAGAGAAAGTCACAAGTGTACAAACTCGAGCACTGCCTCAACCGACACAGCTTGTACCTATAAACACGCAGAGATTACCTCACAGGCAGCCGATGTTCCTAGTGGCCCCCACCCCTGTGACAGGCAGGAATAGTCCAAAGCTCTCAGCAGCCATTACTGGAGGTCAGTCTCAAGTTCGCCCTGTCAAAGTCTTTATCAACCACCAAATCATACCCTCATTTCACAAGATAGGAAGTCTGGCTGCGAAAACTCACACTATGAACTCGACTCAGATCAATAATTCTCCTGTAGCATCAACTTCTGCTCAGATGAACTCAACTCAGATCAGTAATGTGTCTGATTTAGCAGCAACTTCTGCTCAGAAAAACTCAACTCAGTTAAGTAATATTTCTGACTCGGTGACAACTACCACTCAGAAGTCTAGTGAACCAGAGCATGTACCAGATTCAGTGACAGAGAGCTGTTCGTCAGAAGCAGACGAGTTGAAGTTCTCGATTGTTGTAAAAGAAACAGACACAGGAGAGTACAAGATGTATAAAGTACCTATCTCTAACACAGACCAACAAACCCAGGAGGTCATTCTCCCAGAACTAGAGGGTGATGGAGGTGTCACTGTGAAATGTGAGCCAACAGAGGAATGGTCTGGTATTACACCTTATTCACAAAGTCAAAGTGGTGTGACCTCACCTCATTCACAAAGTCAAAGTGGAGTGGCCTCACCTCATTCACAAAGTCAAAGTGGTGTGACTTCACCTCATTCACAAACCTGGACTGGTATCAACGCTTCTCATTCACAGAACCAGAGTGCTATCTCTCACACAGAATCCAGTGAAATGGGTGGAGACAATGTCATTGTGAAAACTGAACCAATGGTACCAAGTGTATCTTCACATCATAGAAATACAAACATCAACAAGTATAAAAATCCTCAAAGAATAACAAGGTCTGTCACACGGGGGCAAACTCAGAAGGTAGTCGAGTGTCCGTACGAATACGCTCTACAACTGGATTCTGTTCCAAAGAGAAAAAAAGAATCCTTAATGACATTCTGGTACAGCTGTAAACAATGCTGTAAATCCTTCAAATACGCCAGCTCCCTGGAGGTAAGGACTGGTGTAATGGGATTTCTGTTGATTAATCAGAATCTTTCAGTTTGTCAATATAAAATTGTGTTCATTGATCACTAATATTTCTGGGTTTTGCTATCATTTATTGTAAACAAATTTACGTCACCATGAATGATAATTTAACTGATGTATAAAACCACTGAAGTTGCTGTATGTATGAGTTTAATACCTACAATCTAATTGAATAGTAGTTATGTGTGTGTTTTCATTAGCCATGTCTTTCTATATACTATGTTCACAGGTTCATAAGCAAATGCATGACCTCGAAAAGACAAAAAAGAATCGGTGTTACATCTGTGGGAGAACCTGTGCTGTCGCTAGGAGCCTGATGATGCATATGAAGGCACACAATGAGCCCACGGATAAGTCTGAAAACACATTCCAGTAAGTACACACCAGGAAGTCTGAAAACACATTCAAGTAAGTACACATGGACAAGTCTGAAAACACATTCAAGTAAGTACACAGGAACAAGTCTAAAAACACATACAAGTAAGTACACAGGGACAAGTCTGAAAACACATTCAAGTAAGTACACACTGACAAGTCTGAAAACACATTCAAGTAAGTACACACTGACAAGTCTGAAAACACATTCAAGTAAGTACACACTGACAAGTCTGAAAACACATTCAAGTAAGTACACAGGGACAAGTCTGAAAACACATACAAGTAAGTACACAGGGACAAGTCTGAAAACACATTCCAGTAAGTACACAGGGACAAGTCTGAAAACACATTCAAGTAAGTACACACGGACAAGTCTGAAAACACATTCCAGTAAGTACACAGGGACAAGTCTGAAAACACATTCAAGTAAGTACACACAGACAAGTCTAAAAACACAATCAAGTAAGTACACAGGGACAAGTCTGAAAACACATTCAAGTAAGTACACACTGACATTTCTGAAAATGCATTCAAGTAATTACATGTAATGTGATGGGAAAAAGTTCCTTTTAACCCATGATGAAAACACCCCGCAATGTGTTAGATTGATTCCCAAGAAGTTGATGTTTCTTTTTCACATTGAATTTAATATTCAAAATCTGACAGGTGTTTTATATAAATTTAAAATTAAATCTTTATTTTGATACAAGTGTTTTATTTGATTATTTTAATTACAGGTGTTTCATACAATTCTTTATTGTTATACAGGTGTTTTAAATGTGATGAGAGCTTTTTCCACCAGGATAATTACCAGGTTCACATGAGGATGCATGCAAACAAGTATGAGGAGCAGCAGGGGCACGTGAGGGTTCATGAAGGTACTGCAGTAAGGTTCATTATTTGTCTGTTCATGCAAACTGTAAACCAACTTTATTCCAGAGCAAGAAATATCTCTGAGCTTTGCAGACTTCATTCATTCCTTATGTAGAATGTTGCCACATGAGTACTGACTTGTAGTCGCATATGGATTCCAAACTAAAATATTGCAATTATTAAAGAGAAGTCATGAATAATAAAGTCAAACTTTGTTATCTCGAACCTGATGGGACTGAGTAAAAACTTCTAGATATCTGAGGATTTGAGATATCAAGGGTAAAATACTTAAAGAATATGTGGTTGGGACTTCCAAATCACTTTGACATATTCATGGAGTTGGAGATGCTGAAGTTCAACTGTAGTTCAGTTTACAATATAAATTATGTTATAATACTAACAATTTTCCATATAAAATGTAATACATTTATATAAATTAAATGAAAAAACAGTAAAGCATGCGTACAGCATGCTTATAACATAAAGGACAATATTTTTGTAAAAGTAATTCATCTATATCAATTCTGTTTATAATACAGTAAAACTCGTTTAGTACGAACACGGATATAGCGAATTCACGGTTATAGTGAAGTTTTTCTGGGTCCCCGACTAAATTCTTAACAAATCTTTGTAAAATTTTACGGTTATAACGAACTCTGATATAACGAATTTACGGATATAGCGAACTGATTTTGAGTCCCGCTGAGGTAATATATAATGAAATTTACATCTTTTATAACGAACTTACAAGAATCTCAAAATTTGATAAATTGAACTGACTTTATTTTATTTTAGAATGTATATAAAAATTCAATTCGAAATAAAACCTTGGTTATCGAAGTTTTTTTCCCCTAATATTTACTTCCCTAACATATTTGGTAGTAATATTTGAAGGAAAACATGCATATAGAGAATTCGCTACATAGCGAATTAAATTCACCGGTCCCCAGGACTTCGCTATAACCGAGTTTTACTGTATATATTTTTAAACAATCATGAATGAAAATCACAAGGTATATATATATATGCTATGATCATAATTAAGTTAATACCAATTTTTTGTTCCTCTCATTAAAAGTTTTGTGGTTTCAGGACAAAAAGAAAAGAATGAATCAGTCAACCAAGCATCAACTTCAAATCAGCCAGTAATTCCTACAGACCAGGGAGCTATGGAGGGGGAAACTCTATACAAGAGAAACAGGCAGAAGAGGAGGATAATAGTAGACGATTGTGAGAGAGGGTTGATTCCTACAGAGACAATGAAGCGACAATTCAGGGACACCTCAGACATCACAGGTCCTATGGAATACGCTCCCCCAACCAAAAAACTCATGCATCTGAAGGAGAGTCGGGACTCTGAGAGGCTTTTATCTAAACCTGGAAGATCTGGTTTATCCCCGACTGCTTCTAAGGTATGAAAATCTCTGTGTAAAATTGTTTTATTGTTCAGCAGAAAGATAATATTGAGTTTGTTGTTTTGTAAATGTTGTACATGTCAGCCGAGAGTTGACTTGAGATTGTAATTTTGTGTTATACAGTATAATCTTGTCCTTTACTGTGTATGCCCCTCACTCGGTCTGTCACAACAGATTTTGTAACATACTTTACAGCTACATTTATTTCCAAGTTAATTTCTTGCAAATTTCTAGGAATGAATCTCGGAACATAGTAAGTAACTCCTATTCTCATGTATTTTATTACAGTCATTTTCTCGGAATCTTGTCACACCGACAACTGACCAAAGAGAAGCACCAGTCTCAGATCATTCAAATCTTGAAGACTTTGATTCAACCTTGGAGGAACAAGGTATGTGTCCATTATATTCTTTTTAAATGTTATAGGACCCAAGAAAGTCTGTTGCTAGGTCAGAAATCAAACTCAGGTTCCACGTTATAACAGGACACAAGAAAGTCTGTGGCTAGATCAGAAATCAAACCCAGGGCCCAAGTAATACTAGTGGGGTGCTCTACAGACGGAGCTACCTTGGTCTATACTGTATGTGTACTTTAAAAAGCGGGCTTCATATTTTAGTGGCTTTGGCGCAGACAACAAAGTACTAATTCATGAAAGAAAGGATATAGAGAGAAAACGGTTGAAAACCGCTAAGAAATCATTTACGTTTACAATACACTGAACAAACCTGCGCTAATTTATGATTACGCCAACAACTCCATACCAAGTGATTGCTCTAAATTTGAAAACACCAAATTATTTTCACATACAGAATTTACCATAATCCTTATATTAAAAGATTTATATTCTGATTAGCAACAAAGTCAAAACCATAGGTCATTGTCGATCACTTGTAGAGAAAACAAAGTGTTCTGTTGTTCATTATTCCAATAACAGAGAGATCTTTTACAGGTACATGGCTGGTGGAGACTAGAATCAAAGAAGAACCTTTAGATGATCAGCCAGAGTTCACCCAGTCCTCCAGCTCACTCATACAGACCTCTACAGAAATACAGAAAAAACAGGGAACTGTGATGAACCTATAGACCTCTACAGATCTACCAAGGGAGCAAGTGATAAATATACAGACAGATCAAATCAAGACGGAACCCTCATCTAGTGATCCCCCTTAATCCTTAATCAAATACGATCTCTATTAACACTACTGCAGATTAGACCCTAAGTTGACAGATCTACCGAGGAAACGTGATGAACATACTGATGGATCAAAACAAGACGGAGCCCTCATCTAGTGTCCCCCCTTAATAACACTGCCTGTGTAAGTCATTAGCTAATGAACCCTCAACTGTTCCCCCTCCCCCTCTTCCATCACAACAATGCAAGTTCTGGGGAAAAATTGACAGCTGTGGAAAATGAACATGAGAAAAGAAAAGCCTCATCAAGAACTTGGGAGAGGATATAATACAGTGATTATTACATGTTATAAAGTATGATCATGTATGAAATATTTGACCCAAGAGTCAAAGAAAATTCCCATTGGCCAGAATGGACATGTATATTTGTTTATTTACTTGTGTGTTTTTGGTATGTTATAAATATTGATCACTCAGCCTGATTGCTATAAATAACTGGTAGCTGAAGCTTGTAGCTCTAGTAGCTTTGATTAGCTAAAGAGCTTAAGAATTTTATATTTTGGAAAGTTCACTGAAACAGATTTTTCAGTTTTGTTTTCACACATGAAGACAACAGGTTAAATGATTTGTAAAAATCTTCAGAATTAAAATTAAAAGTTTATTGATCAAACACAATGTTTTATTTTTATATGTTAAGTATTTATTCAAGGAATAACTGTCTAATTTTTTTATTTCATGATGTGATCAATTGAATTGCTTGCATTTATGCACAAAATTATCACTTAATCTAATCGATTGATCGTCATGAAATAAAACCAGAAGTCTCTATTGAGACTGAAGCTCTACTGGTTTGTACTTATAGCAAAGGAAGAGAAAAGTACTTAAGCAGTTGGGAATCGAAACTCTATGACAGCAATAAATAGAATAATGATCCTTGGTTAAGCCTCTTTATGTTCTTATTGTATTCTACTTGCATGCCACATTATTTATTATAATCAGACTAAAACTGTATTTAGAGTAGCATTTTGAGAGTATTTAACGGAAATTTCTATTTTAGTAACCAATGCAATAATATTCAATGAAGTCAAAAAACCATAAACAGAATTGTGTATCTTAGTATAGTCTACTTGTGAGCCAAGTTATAATGAAATCAGACCAAAACTGTAGTAAGAGAAGCATTTTGAAAGAATTTCACAGAAATTTCTAATTTTAGTAACCACGGCAACACTGTCACTGTTCATCAAAATCAAAAAGCAATATACAGAATTATGTTCCTAAGTGTAATCTACTTGTATACCAAGTTATATTGAAATCAGACCAAAACTGTAGGAGGAGTAGCATTTTGAAAGAATTTAACAGAAATTTCAATTTTTAGTAACCACGGCAACACCGTTCATCCAAATCAAAAATTGATACACGGAATTATGTATCTTAGTGTAGTCTACTTGTGTGCCAAGTTATATTGAAATCAGACCAAAACTGTAGGAGGAGTAGCATTTTGAAAAAAATTCACAGAAATTTCTATTTTTAGTAACCACGGCAACACCGTTCATCCAAATCAAAAACCGATACACAGAATTATTATCTACTTGTGTGCCAGGTTACATTGAAATCAGACTGAAACTGTAGGAGGAGTAGCATTTGAAAGAATATTTCACAGAAATTTCTTATATTAGTAACCACGGCAACACCGTTCATCGAAATTACACAAAATTATGTATCACAGTGTAGTCTACATCTTCGCTAGCCAAGGGTTTCCGATCCGATACCTACTCTACAACTTGTAGAGTAGGTATCGGATCGGAAACCCTTGGCTAGCGAAGATGTGTAGTCTACTTGTGTGCCAAGTTATATCGAAATCAGACCAAAACTGGAGGAGGAATAACTTTTTGAAAAATTGTTTACAGACAGACAGACAGCTATAGACGGACGCCGGACGCATTACTATCGCATAAGCTCTTCTGGTCTCTGACCAGTAGAGCTAAAAATTAAAAAGTTATTCCTTAAAATAGATAACAATTCAATGTCTTGTAGGTGAATATGGAATTTATTTCATAAGTGGGACAGGATTTTTTGATAGGGCTTTCATCCTTCACATATCATTTGCGTCGGAAGCAAATTGAAAGTGGGGGGCTAAGAGTTAAAAAAAAAATTATACCTTAAAAAAAAACAAAAAAAAAACTGACAAGCAAAAAAAGAAAAAGGGGTGGGGGGGGGGGGGGGGGGGTTGGAATGTCCATTTCCCAAACACGAAAATCCTACATCGTGCGGGGTGGGGGGTTAGGTTCGAACTTCAGTACCAATTTTTTTTTTCAAATACCACCACTTTCCCTATTTCTAGGTGACCTATTGCTATCCGTTTTCGTCCGTCGTCGTCCGTCGTTCGTAAACTTTTGAAGTTTTAACTTCTTCTCTGGAACCACTGAACCAATTTCAATTAAATTTGGTATACAGCATCTATGGGTGAAGGGGAACAACATTTGTGAATTTCGTGGTCCTGTCCCCCTGTGGGGCCAAAACCACTAAAATTAATGCAATTTTTAAAAATCTTCTTCTTTACTCCTGGACATCAAGCAGTCAAACTGTTGATATGATTGTAATCAGCATTGAGTCCTCTACCAAAATTGTGAAATTCATGGCCCCTAGGTTATGTGTGTGTATTTCTTTTTTCTAGTAGTATGCTAGTCTGTTATGTTTGATTTGTGAATCATGACATTCTGTGATAGTTTTACCTGAATAAAATGAAATGAAATGAAAAAGGGGTTCTGGTGTTAGGGTGGGGCTATATAGATCATATAGTAAAAGTGCATTATTTCTCTGAAAATCTTCTCTGCTCCTGGGTATTAAATTAACTAACTAAGAACATATATAGTTATGATAACCAAGTGTGCTTCTTCAAAAATTGTGAATTTCATGGCCCCTGCGTCAGGGGTTCTGGTGTTAGGGCGGGGCTATATAGATCATATAGTACATGTGCATTATTTCTTTTAAAATCTTCTTCTTTGCTCGTGGGTATTAAATAAACCAACTAAGAACATAGTTATGATGACCAAGAGTGCCTCTCAATAATTGTGAATTTCATGGCTCCAGGGTCAGGGGTTCTGGTGTTAGGGCGGGGCTCTATTGATTGTATATTTAAAAAACATTAATTCTTCAAATATCTTCTTCTCTACTCCTCGATATTAAACAAGCTAACTAAGTACATAGTTATGATTAACAAGAGTGCATCCTCCAAAATTGTGTATTTTATGGCCCCAGGGTCAGGGGTTCTGGTGTTACTGGGCGGGGCTCCATTGATTATATAGTGAAAATGATTTTATTCTTTCTCTGCGCCTGGATATTAGATAAACTAAGTACATAGTTATGATAAATAAGAGTGCCTCTTTCAAAATTGTGATTTTATGGCCCCAGGATTAGAGGTTCAGGTGTTAGGGCGGAGCTCTATTGATTATATAGTGAAACTGCATTAATTCTTTGAAAATATTCTTCTCTGCTTCTGGGTATTAAATAAACTAAGAACATACTTATGATGAGCAAGGGTGCTTTATCCAGATTTGTGAATTTCATGGCCCTTGTGTCAGGGGTTTTGCCATTTGGTGTAAAAGGGGGGGGGGTATAGTCTGAAAATAAATTAATGCTTTGAAATCTGCTTTTTGTTATCAATCAACCATTTATGATAAAATAGAATTTACGATAAAATTTCCAAAATTTTGAAATAAGTGGCCCCAGGGTCAGTTGTTCCTTTGGGGTGAACAGGTGGCAGGGAAACAGGGGGTGGGGGGGCCTGGCCCCCCCACTTTTTTTTCCCAACATTACCTTTACTATAGAAAATGTTCATTGAAAGGAAAGTTGGCCATCCCAGTTTTTGACCATAGTACTATAGTGATGTCATAGAATTGTGGGAAAAATTGGAATTGAAAGTAACTTGGCTTTAAAACAGTTGGCCACTACCCCCCCCCCCCCTCCCCCACGAAATAGGATTTTCGAGTTTGGGCAACTTTAATTTTCCTTTTTTTTTTTTTTGCTTGTCAACTTTTTCAGGCAAGTAAAAAAAATTTCTCTGGTTGCCCCCCCCCCCCCACTTTCAAAAACGATGCTACGTGCCTGGGTGGTACCGAGGCTTTCATATTTCACAACTGTATTTTTGTGAGAAGACCTTACTTTGGGTACCATTAGGAAAGTTTTATTTAGCCATTAAATATGAGCTAGGAACAGTCCCTATTTGTTGCAAAGCTATCATCTCAATGTTTAAATACTATAAGAGACTAAAAAATGTTAAGAATAAAAATAGCACTAGAAATCAAATTCTTATTGCTGCTTCCTTAGAAGATGACAACTTATATAGTAATGGTGTAAAGGATAATTGGCAAAGTCAGATTGAAAAATTAAAAAAGAAACTTAATCTTCCATCATTAGATATAACTGATAACACATTCAGCACCTGCTTGAAGAATTTTTACATAAAAAATGTTAATTTGCAACTCCAGAACATTGAATTCTCCAAATGTGGTAAATTATTATTTTTCAGTCAAATTAGAAAGAATTATGAATTACAAGACTACTTAAAATATCCAATAAATAAAGCTATACGTTCTAAATTAACAAAACTGAGAATTTCTGCACATCCCTTGGAAATTGAAGTAGGCAGATATTCAAAGCCTTGTATCCCAAAAGAATCGCGTTTTTGTCACTATTGTAAAACTATTGTAGAAAGTGAAATACATTTCATATATGACTGTCCCTTATATATAGATTTGCGAAAAAAGTACTGTTCTTTGAACATCTGTAATTTAAACGATAACATATTGAAAGAAAATCATTGTAAAGTATTATGTAATCCTGACAATGCAGTTCATTCTAGAAGGCTGTGTGAATTTTTATATGAATGTTTTGAATTGCGTTCCAAAAATAAAGCACAATTATAATATATATGTTTAATGCATATATTAGCTCATCACTGTCCATATTATACTGCTTGCATAATGATTATGTTTAATCTTCAAGTTGTTATACTCTGCATAGTTGACTTCACTGATCCATACACTTGCATGTATGTATTTTATTACTTGTCTTTTATATGTAACATGGTTGTATGCCAACATGTTTGGTGAATCAATAAAGAAATTGAAATTTTGCCATAAGGGAGCATCTTGTTCCTTACCATGCTTATAACTTTTGATTGAGAGAGATATGGCTTTCATATTTTTTGACATTTGCATTACCCAAAATATTTCTGAGCATGCTATGTATGCTATGAATTCTGAACCCTTGACATTCAGATTAACCTTATTTTATCAAAATAAAACTTGGTGATAATTTCTATATGACATATGTTATGGCGTTTATATTTGACACAATATGTCATAAAAAATTCAGATATTTGATAAAACTCTCTCAAATCAACTTATATTAGGCAAGAT